GTATAAGGGAACAGCTCAGTGGTACTTTATTTTACAACCAGTGTAGATGGTTTCTCCCACAGCAGCACTCTGATGGCAGCCACAACATTAAGTTTTTCCATTATTTTTCACATGAAATTGAACCCACAACATTAAACATTATTCAGATGTTTTTCCTGTCATAACAGTGTTCAATATACATGTGGTTAAAGTTTTAAACAAAGAGGAGGGTAAAATAAACTCCCTGTGAGTCACAAGATCAGTTTTATGTGGAGTTTTTAGTACGGTGCAAAGTTAGCTCGAGTAGCACGTGCACCTTAAGCTGATTTAGCTAGATCAGGCACAGCTGCAAGCTTCTTTGCAACCCACTTTCACCCCAGCTACACCTGTTATGTTGCATCTGATGTAATCAACGCGCATGGAAGTGTGGGAGATTTAAATATTGAGCTTCCTTTGACTTTACTTGCAGAGTGAAATAATAAAGATGCACAGTAAAGAGCAGTGAGGGAAAGCTATGGTTATTGATTATTTATTTATAGCAGTTTTCCCTTCAGAGAAATCACTTGAAAGTCGTTAAATGAATAAGCCTAATGTGATTTACTACATCTTTCAGTAGTCTGTTTACTGCTAATTGGACCATTATTTAAGATGAAAACAAAGTTTGGGCTTGATGTGCCTGCAGTAGTTTCTGATAAGAAGAGCAGCGACTTACTGAGAACAGAGTGTGTGGAGAAAACACTGGGTTGTGTTCATTTACAGGAACGTTAGAGGGAAGCCTTATCAGAGCAGACTGAATGTTGTTCTTAATTTGTTTAGTAAAATAAAGAAAACACAAAACTTCCAACTAGAAAGAGGTCGTGCAAGAGCAACGGGACCAAAACTTAATGCTACCCTTCAGTTTTTGGCCTCTGGTTCTTTTCAAGACATAATGAGGTTTTATGTTGTCCCTCAAACCTTTGCAAATATTTGACTTAATGACATTTAAACTGTCAGCACCACTGACTGTCCACGAGATTTTCCTCAGATCATTGATCCTCATTGGAAATGGAAAGGTGGACATGTCTTTTTTTTTTTTTCCAGAATTCTTGTTTTTTTCCCAGAATTCTGACTTTAATTTTAGAATTCTGGAAAAGAAAAAACAAAAAAAAAGACGTGTGTGAAGGTTATCAGTCATCCGGGTCATGGTTGTCTAAGGAGCTTGGAAAGAAAATGACTGGACTTCTTTAAATTTCATGAAGATTAAATTTTAATCCTTAATCTTGGATTTTAACAGTTTTGTTGTTTAAGTTAAATAAACAAGTCGCATTGTCTAGCTGTTTTGCACAAAAACATATTGATTTCAGATTCTCCACCGGTCAATCCTTCAATCGTCTTCATAAAACAAAAAATATTAGTAAATATTGAACATTCAAGTTCATAGTAAACTCTTTCAGTTTGCCGTCTCTCTATGAAGAGATCTGAAGTGCCACCTAACTGTACGACCTTGATCAACTGTTCTGTCCAGGGTGTGCAAGTCTTTTAACCACACCAGCCATCTTTTAAAGCAAAGCACGGCCACTGATTCGGTTTTTACGGTAGAGCTTGCTATAAGCCAGAACAGGAGCAGGTAATGTGAGGTAGTGAGGAATTAACCTGGGCTGACTGCACCGTGCTCAGCTGCTACAGTTACATCATTCCAGGTCATGTCACTTAAAATGTAACCTGCCTGTACAGCTGTGAGACAAACATGAGAAAACCCTGCCTGAATAAACACACCTCAGGTCATTATATTTCAACATTAAAACCTTCATTATAAAAGAAAAACCATAAAAATGCAATTGTGGATTTAGCCTGATTGAATACCTGCTCATTAAAACAACAAATATTTAAGTTGAGGTCATCTTTAAATAATAATAATAATAATAATAATAATAATAATAATAATGCTCTAGATCGTTAAAAAGCTGTAATCATTGTGTCCATTCAAAGAATAATGCCCGTATGCTTCGTAAACACACACATATGTGTTATTCTATCACTGTGAGGACCCTGGCTTACACCATGCATTGCTAGTATTCTAATCTATAGCCTAAAAATAGGTTTGAACCCTCAAACAGCTCAACTAAATGTTGAGCTTACATATTTAAAACTGTATATCCACAGATGTCCACACAAATGTCCTCCGGAAAACAAAGTCACAGTATCCATCATTCCCTAAAAATGTCTGTACTTTTAAAAGCTGTTCACAATGTTGACAAATGTCCTCGCAGTATCTAAAACTACATGTCTACAAGATTTGTCCAATTTTCACCAATGTCCTCACTGTCCATCATGTCCAGCCCTTTGATATTCACATATGTCCTCACAATAATTGGAAAAAAAAAAAATGCTCACAATAGCTTAAACTTGATCCCCACTATTAAAAAATATCTATCACTATCCAACAAGGCCTTTGATGTAAGGCCTTTTCCAAAGATGCCCTCACTTTCTAAAACTGTCCACTGTGCTGACAAATATCTTCATTATCCAAAACCGTCCACATTTTTCACAAATGTCCTCATAATATCTAAAACCTCCACTGGTCCTCACAATGACACACAAACAGGTGCACACCACCAGCTCTCAGAGTGAGGTGCATGCTTCACATGCAGCTCACATCACCGCTGATGACGTATGAGACGCACGACAGGTTGAATGACGCCAGCCTGATGAATGACGCAAGCCCGAGTGAATCAACGTGGGTTAGCGAAGGCCTGCTGCCGCTCATAGTCAAACACTGTTCTGTTGTGTTAGCCAAGGTTAGCTTAGCATGAAAACACACAAGCTGCTAGTGAGTCATGACTGCAGAGAGAGAGAGGATGGAGGAAAGGGGAGGGTCGGCTATGCCAGCAGCTCGCTAAAAATTCCCCTCACACACACGCACACACACACGGTCAGAGCTAAGTGGTGTAATGCTGTTAGCTCATCAGTAACTCAGTGTTAATGGGATTACAGAGTACTATAGCCTCATCACAGTCAGCTGCACTGAAACACACCAACTTAACTTTGCATTAAGCAATGTGATAATAAGGTGCTTCATTTAAATTTTAAAGTTCCAGGCGTTTGACGGCTCCAAAACATTTTTACAGATTGTTTGTACTCTATTGGCCAAAACTCAGATTATGCATTAAAAAATATATATATTTTGAAGGAAGACTGAATACAGTTTGCAGGAGATGTGCAGTCAGATCAAAGCGAAAAAGCTTTTTGAGAAAATACCATTAGAAGAAAATTAAATGTATTATTTGAACAATTATCAGCATTGAGCAGCTCGGTCAGTTTAGTAGATCCCGCTAGTGAAAGTGAAGTTATTCTAAAACAACAGTTCGATTTTAAATCATCTTCTATGGAGATTCTGATTTTCAAATTGAGTTAGAGCTGCCGCAGATAAATCCCGATCAAAGTAAGCTGGGCCGAGTTTGTCTGTCAGGTCATTTAGTTAGCTGACAATGAACCGCCAGTCAGTGAGAGTCGATTTTTCAGACTGGTAGCATCAGAGATGGTGGAAGTCGCCAGCAGTGCATAAACTAATCAATCGGACAAGATTCAAGAGTCCTACTGACGAGATTCTTCAGTCCAGCCTTCTACCACTGATGAGATTCTGTCGTCTAATCTTTGGCTAATGACAAGATTCAAGAGTCCAGCTTTTGACTACTGATTAGATTGTACAATCTTGCCTTTGACCTTTCTGTATCTAGAATATAATTCTAGAATCTTATT